TCTCTCTCTCTCTCTCTCCCCAAAGATAGTTATCATTTTAGAGAGACTTGCTTTCCGTTGTGTTTATATCAGCTATTTAAAATGGTACTTCTGCGAGCCTCTTATCTGTACCTTTTCGTGTGTGATGTGAGTACACGTGTGTGTGAATGTGAGACAACACGACATTTGAACATAACAGTTTTTTTTTTTCTTCCCCTTTGAAGACAATGGCCCGTACTCAGGTAAAAGGCTAATGAGTATATATTTAAATTTTAGGCAACAATATTATTCTCTTTTACTATTCAGATCGGTCATTGTACAGCTCCATCACCACACAATACAGTATACTTTTACTTTTTTCTTGTATATTTGATTTGTATATTGAAATATATGTATGTGAGGATGTGTATATTTCAATATATTTACTAATTGCATATTGAAATGTTATATTTCAGTATTATCGTTTTTGTTGGAGAGGTAAGAGCTCTTCCCAGTCCGTCACATGGACCGCTGCTGTAATTTAGTGCTTTAGTGGTTGAGGTCAACTTCACATCTCTGAATTCAACCCAGACGGTGACATGTTGGACCTCTTGATGAATAAAGAGGGTTTCGATCAGTCTCTGCGATAACCAGAGCAGTGGCCCCGCTTGTGTTCAATAACGGCCTTGTTTCTTTGTTTTTGTTTTTGGCCATGCTGTACCAGTCTGGGCAGAGAAGTGACCTAACTGAACATTTTTGAATTTGTCTGCTTTTGGTTTTACCTTCTTGCTCTTGATGTGAAGCTTATTTTATTAATTATTGATGACTTACTGGTGATAGATATGAAATGTGTGCAGCCGGGGCGGGGGTAGATGGCCATTTGTAAATAATTTACAGAAGATGACTGTTGAGGAGGCACATAACACTTTCATAAGAACTCCATAGAGGCTTTGTAGACAGTGTTTCAGACAGTAATGACACAGGTTCAGTTTCAATGAGATTTTTTGATTCCTTTTAATAGATGAGAAGTGTAAATGTGAGGAATCAAGGAAAGACTACTGAGAACCACAGGAACTCCTGTACAGAGAGGACACAGTGTTTACAGACTGTTCATACATCTCCAGGCTCTCAGTGCTTTGTACCTGAGAGGACAGAAGTAATCCGTCTGTAAACCAGTTAAGCAGAAAGCAGCAAAACCGGTTTTGTGCTTAATGTCTGTGTGAATTGTCACAATAAAGCTGGTGTTCAGGAAAGATCCGTTATGTGCATATATGATTGTTTTAAAGCTGTGTTTACAGAAAACCAATATTGCAGTTTCATAAAGAAGGGTATAAAAGAAAAGCGCTCAAAATCGATGAAACGGAGGCCAATATATCCAGACTTTTAGGCTCTAGTATGACTCAAAGTCCAAAAACATAATCCTGCCCACCCCATCATGCAACTCATCATCCTCATCTTTGAGTTGACCCTCCCTGCCTGATAAATGTCCTCATCTTTCAAACTCAACACCCTCACATCCCAGCCTTTGTAACACAGGCTTTCCATTTAAATTTCCGTATCAAAATACAATACCAATCATATTCTCAGACTTGATGAAGCTTCTTCGTTATGCATCCGTCATCAGGCAGAGTCGGACTTCCCATGATGAGATTTTGATCTTGAAAATCTGTTTAGTACCCGTTTAAGATGCATTATGTCTCATCTGCCCCACAGTGTTCCTTTATATTGTTGAGAAACAAACTACTGGGTTACCCATGAACCACAGTACCAACTGTTCGGTTTTTGTCCAGAGCTCAGCTGACACTTTGTGGAATCAGACACTGAAGAGACAAAGGATTCTTTAAATTACCCCTGTGTCTTAGAGAAGTAGTATAGTATAGTATTTGTCTTTTTAGCCAACACTGTTAACTCTATGCCTTTCATGTGACTGTGCACAGCCATAAAGGTCCATAGTGGCTTTACATTGTCCTTTAACCGCAAATTACATTAACAGTACCATGTAGCGGTATTTAAGGTATTTGAAAGTATTGTCCAAACTGTTCCAGACAGCCATTTATTTCCATACAATATATATATATATATATACCATACTAATCCAGCCAATATCAAGATATTTTTTGTAAAGGTATCATTATTATGACCGAGGCAGGGCAAATCAATCTGCAATCTGCACCCTGAAAACATATTTTCTTAGTCAGCTTCTTACTGTGTCTTAATCACTGTGAGCAGGGATACATTGAAGAAAAGTGATGCCATGTGTTTTGGGTGTTAAACTCTGACTTAATAACACTTATCCTCCTGGTATCATATATATATATTATAAATAAATACTTAAGATTTGAAACCAAGTTTTTAAGGGCTTTAAACCAAAGTATCAGTAACAGGAAGAACTCAATACGAAATGTTCATTAAGCAGCTTTCCAGAGTAGAGACTTAATTATTCAGTGAATCAGCAGCAATCTTAATTAAGTTTTTAAGCACAAATGGCAAAATCCAGTTTCTCAATGTGAATATTTTCCTTTTCACTTTCCTAACTCAATATATTTTAGTTTTGGACAAAACAAGACATTTGACTGTGTCACTTTGGAGCTTCAATCAGTCAATTTATGCAGACATGAAGGAAAATAATTAGTCTCTGCTTCACTCCAGAGTCTGGGCTAATTAATTTTCAGAGCATATCTATATATAGCAAGTAAAAAGAAACCACTGGCTACCTAAAATAGTAACACCAACCTGAAAATGCTTAAAAAAATAGAATAGAAAATGTTTTTTTGTCTGCAAATGTATAAAATCATTTTAGTTAAGAGACCCAACCGCAGTGGTGTGGTCCTTTAAAGTAAGTTTTGTTGTTTTGTTTTGTAGAGCATCTCCCATTATAACTCAAAACACAGCTCAGTTTTCATATATTGTCTGAACTATGCAAACACACTGTAGACCATAATCAGCCCATATCAGAGGAGCAGTAATAATCTCCACCCTCACACGTCTGAGCAGCATGATGGATTAATGATGGCTGATTCTTGACCAGCCTTCCTAAATCTCGCTGCTGCAGCACTAACAGGCACATATCATCTGTCCGCCGTTGGTCCACTAGTTGTAGTCCACTACAGCCTGGTGCCAGCTCAGCCCCTCCCTCCCTGCGAGCTTCAGGCGGACGCTGGTCCTCACTGCAGTCCGCAGTAAACCCACCGGCGCCCGTCAGAGTGCAGCAGACTGCAGTCTCCATCACATTCCTCCTCCTCATCCTCCTTCTCCTCCTCCCTGCGCTCCTCTGGCAGGTGGAAAGGACACACACGCATACACACGGGGCCGGGACAATGTGAGTATCAGCTCTTGTATATTATTATAGTTTAAATAAATATCACACAGGTAGGTTGTGCGCAGTTCCTCCAGAAGTGTTGGACCATAGCGGATGCCTATTTTAGCGACTTTTCCGCAGCGTCATGGACAGGTAAAGTTGCGATCATTCGGTTGTGCGTGCATAGAAAGCTTTCCTTTTTATTCAGTATTTGCACAGGCTGCTGTAACACTTGTAAAGCCATAAATACAGCAGCAGACTGACATGAGCATGTACTGGCTGGTTG